ATTTCATTTTTGATGACTTACAGTTTTCCTAGATTCATACTTAGCACATTCCACGTTCCGATTATTAATTGATGTTTACAGCTGTTTCCTCTCATTTTGAGTCGTGCTACATCAGCAAAGGAAGGTCCCAAAAACTTAACTCCATCTACGTCATTAAGGTCAACTCTACTTTCAGTAGGCGGCTCTATGCCAGTCATCTTTTAAGTAACTTCCAACTTGAGGGGCTCATCTTCCAGCACTAAACCACACGACGTTCCACTTCTATTTGTAAGGTTTTCACTGGCGAATTTTTTCAAAAGTAGACCTCAAGTCCTTCTTCCTAGTCCGTCTTAGTCTGGAAGCTCTGCTGAAACCTGTCCATCATGGGTGACCCTGCTGGTATTTAAAATACCAGTAACATAGCTTCCGGCATCACAGTAACACATATGCCACCACAAGATGACAAACTGACAGATGCATGGAGTTGTTGTTGAACTTAAAGTAATGAAAGTGAAAGGAAGAAATGATGAAGTAAAAGAGCTGAAGAGAAGATTTCAAAGGGGGCGGCTCAAGAAGACTATTATAATGAGATGTGCAAAGACCTGGAGTTAGAAAACCAAAAAGGAAGAACATGCTCAGCATTTCTCAAGCTGAAAGAACTGAAGAAAAATTCAAGCCTCGAGTTGCAATATTGAAGGATTTTACAGGGAAAATATTGAATAACACAGGAAGCATCAAAAGAAGATGGAAGGAATACACAGAATCACTGTACCAAAAAGAATTGGTCGACATTCAATCATTTCAGGAGGTAGCATATGATCAAGAACTGATGGTACTTGAAGAAGAGGTCCAAGCTACACTGAAGGGAACGGTGAAAAATAAGGCTTCAGGAATTAACAGAATACCAATTGAGATGTTTCCACAAACAGTTGCAGCGCTGAAGATGCTCACTTGTCCATGTCAAGTAATTTGGAGGACAGGTGCCTGGCCAACTAACTGGAAGAGATTTCATATCCGGGCCCATTCCAAAGAAAGGTGATCCAACACAAAGTGGAAATTATTAAACAATATCATTAATATCACACACAAGTAAAATTTTGCTGAAGATCATTCAAAAGCGATTGCAGCAGAGCACCAACAGGGAACTGCCAAAAGTTCAAGCCGGATTGAGAAGAGGACGTGGAACAAGGGATATCATTGCTAACATCAGATGGATCCTGGCTGAAAGCAGAGAATACCAGAAAGATGTTTACGTGTGTTTTATTGACTATGCAAATGCATTCGACTGTGTGGCTCATGACAAATTACGAGTAATATTGGGAAGAATGGGAATTCCAGAACACTTAGTAGTGCTCATGAGGAACCTGTACATAGACCAAGGGCAATCGTTTGAACAGAACAAGGGGATACTGCGTGGTTTAAAGTCAGGAAAGGTGTGCACTAAGGTTGTATCCTTTCACCATACTTACTCAATCTGTATGCTGAGCAAGTGATCTGAGTAGCTGGACTATATGAAGAAGAACATAGCATCAGGATTGGAGGAAGACTCATTAGCACACTGTGATATGCAGATGACACAACCTTGCTTGCTGAAAGGGAAGAGAACTTGAAGCGCTTAAACTGATGAAGATCAAAGACCATGTCCTTCAGTATGGATTACACCTCAACATAAAACAAAAATCCTTACAACTGAACCAATAAGCAACATCATGATAAAATGGAGAAAAGATCAAAGTTGTCAAGGATTTAATTTTACTTGGATCCACAATCAATACCCATGGGAGCAGTGGTCAGGAAATCAAACCATGTGTTGCATTGGGCAAATCTGTTGCAAAAGACCTCTTTAAAGTGTTGAAAAGCAAAGATGTCACTTTAAGGACTAAGGTGCGCCTTACCCAAGCCATGGTATTTTCAGTAGCCTCATATGCATGCGAAAGTTAGACAATGAGGAAGATGGAAGAAGAAATGATGCCTTTGAATTGTGGTGTTAGCAAAGAATATTGAATATACCATGACTGCCAGAAGAGTGAACAAATCTGTCTTGGAAGAAGTACAGCCAGAATGCTCCTTAGAAGCAAGAATGGCGAAACTTCATCTCACATACTTTGGACATATTGTTAAGAGGGACCAGTCCCCAGAGAAAGATATCATGCTTGGTAAAGTAGAGGGTCAATGAAGAAGAGGAAGACCCTCAACGAGATGGATTGACACAGTGGCTGCAACAGTGGACTCAAGCATAACAACAACTGTTAGGATGGTGCAGGACGGGGTAGCATTTTATTCTGTTGTACATAGGGTCACTATGAGTCGGAGCCTACTCAATGGCACCTAACAACAAGGTATATTGATACGTCTAAGCTGGCTTAGGAAAAATGTTTTTGTTGTTATAACTAACTACAGAGAGATATTTATAGACGGTCATTTTGGTGCACCCCCTCTGACAGTGTCACCTGGTATGGTCCGCAACCCCGTACTCCCCTAGTGACGCCACTGGTTTCACTCCTGTTTGATATTTGAAATATAACTTTTCTGGGCTCCTGTTTTTCTACAGTAATAGCCAACATTTACCAAATACTTCTAGTACTAAACCCTTATGTGCGTTATCTTAGTTAATCTTAACAGCAACCTATGAAATAGGTGTTTTTTAGTTGTTACAAATGGTTAAGCGCTCAACTACTAACTGAAAGGTTGGGTGGTTTGAATCTATGCAGAGGTGCCTTGGAAGAAAGGCCTGGTAATCTACTTCAGAAAAATCAGCCATTGAAAACCCTATCGAGCGCAGTTCTAGTCTGAAACACATGGGGTCACCATGAGTCAGAATCCACTTGACGGCAACTCGTTTACTGGTTAGATACTGAGAAACGGAGGCTTAATAGACTGAGGAGCTTGGCCAAGTTCATACACATAGCAAATGAAGAGCTAGGAATCAAAACCAGTCAGTCCAACTCCAAAGCCTTCATTCCTTCCCAATGCTGGCCTCTTTGGTTTTTTTCAAGGCATTTAGTACCACGTGAAAATGTTACTTATTTGTGTCTATATTAGAATGCTTACTCCTTGATTGAGATGTCGTATTTCTGGGTATAAAGCAGTGCCTGGCACATAGTAAGTGTTCAATAACTATTGAATTAGTGACTAAATACTGCTTAACAGAGTTTGAAATAAAGAGGCTAGATAGCTAATTTCTGAGTGCTTACATTTTTATATTTTATCAGTATTCATTTTACTTAAATGGTTTATTCAAATAGAACACTCTTCCAAATTGCTTAAAAAGATGACTTGCAAAAAGCTCTTGACTATGAAGACATCGCTGCATTATGTATCCACCCATACATGTAGACATTTTACCTATATACTAATACAAACTTCCAAACAGAATTTTAGGCTGGTGTTGTCTCAGACCCGTCCTGGGGAGAGAATTATTCTTTTATGTCACTCATATTCACATTAAAGGTGCCTAAGACAAAAGAGAAGTCCCTGGGTGGCACAAATGGTTTATACACTCTACTGCTAACCGAAAGGTTGGAGGTTCGAGTCCACCTAGAGGCCCCTTGAAAGAAGGGCCTGGCAATCTACTTCCGAAACATCAACCCTTGAAAGCCCTATGGAGCACAGTTCTACTCTGACACACATGGGGTCACCATGAGTTGGAGTTGCCTCCACAGAAACTGGTACTGATAAAACAAAAGAAAAACAAGCCAAAAAGAAAGAAAGAAAACCCTGCTTGCTTTAGAGGCACAGGCTCCAACCTGGCTTTGCTGTGAGCAGCTCTAGGTTCTAGGAAGACCTTGGCTCGTTCTCACTTCCCATTTCTCTCACTGGCCAATTCAATTATGTCTGGTAATTGCAAATGAAAGACAACTTTAGAAAAGTGGATATTACACAGAACTGCAGAGGTCCTAGGGCCAACAGGAGCCACCTGGGACACCAGGATCACTGGAAGCTGAAGCTGTTTCTGGAACCACTTTCCTATCGCCCCTTCTTTCCCCTTTCTCTGTTTCTCTTCTTTGACCTCCACCTTTTTTCCTTTTACTAACCCCCTTCTGCATGTATTATTTGCCTTCTCACTGAGAAGTTATGTGAAAACATCCAGCTGCTGCTCAAGCAGTATGTCTCTGCCAGTGACATTGGCTTCAAACCTCATCCTCTAAGCTCACATTGTGAAACAACTTATCTCCCTGTGTAGCTCTCTAACTCCTGTGTGACCTTCTGTCCCGCTCAGCACCACAACCTGGGTTTTTGAATCTTCTATGCCCTTCTGAACTTTCAGTGGTAACATTCAGGGGTTCCATGACTGTTTTATTTACACAAACAACAGCAAACCAACCAGTTGCCATAGCTCTGTGGTGTCAATTCCGACTCAAGGTGACCCCATGTGTGACAGAGGAGAACTGTGTTCCATAGGGTTTTCAGTGGCTGATTTTTTGGAAGTTGGGTTCCAGGCCTTTGGGTGGACTCAAACCTCTATAGGTTAGCAGCCAAGCACGTTCACCATTTGCACCTCCCAGGGACTCCTTTTTCGCACAAACCACAAAACCCAGTGCTGTCGAGTCAATTCTGACTCATAGTGACCCTATAGGCCAGAATGGAACTGCCTCATAGAGTTTCCAAGGAGCGCCTGGTGGATTCGAACTGTCAACCTTTTGGTTAGCAGACGTAGCTCTTAACCACTATGCCACCAGGGTTTCCTTCTTTACACAAGGATTCACCAAGTAATTCATTTAAATTGGTAAATTTCCTAAATACAATTAAATCTGTTTTCTAAAACATATACCCTGTAAACATTTGAAGACCACACTCACGAACTGAATTGCGTGCATAGGGGGATAAATTTTTTTCCCTGCTGTGTACCGTATTTGAGCCCTTGCATGCCTCCCCCTCTGAAATAGACTGTCTCAGACCAAAGTTTGGGACTTTGTTATTTCATGCTACAGGAGAGTTCATATTCTGTTTACTTCATATCCTCCATTTTGTAGTTGTTTTTTAAAGCATTAATTGCCGTTTGTTGTTACCTTTACATTCAGATTATATTCAATGCCCATATTGTATGAGGAGATTTAATGAAACAGCAGCCAATCGACATATTAATTTCTGCAAGAATCAGCCTTCTCGCCGAGTCTTTGATCCAGCCCAGACAGCCGCGAAATTGGCATCCAGAGCCCAGGTAAATCTCTCTTCCCAAGTGGTGACTCTTGTGCCCTTGCATGCCTGGAGCAAGCAGGTAGGATTTGCAAGGGAAACACGATTACCCATCCTAAGAATTGTGTTGGAGACCTCACAATTGTAATTCACTCCCATGGGGGTCTGCTGCTTTTGGAGGATGCTTTCCAGCTGACAGCACCTTTGGGTGTTACAGAAAAAAAATTTCTAATGTGCTTCAAGCATGTTAGCATGAAGGCTTGACTATATAAATCGTGTATCTACAGTATTAGGGTGCAATTCTGTTTCTCTAAAGGTAGTTATCAGCCTTAACCGCCAGAAAAGAGTGGTGACCCTGAAATAACTGTGGACCGAGTAGAGAAAGTGTCACAAAGGAGGTGTCCTACAGCTCCTGTGATGTGCTCTGTGGAGGAGTGGTTTTCAGCTTTTGACTAAATGCCACAGAATCAACAAGTTAAAGGGGTACATGGATGAGTGGAAACAGCTGTTAGAAATGGTACAAACAGGTAAAATGACAACCCAACAGGGAGACCGTGAGTCTAGAAACATAGATGGAACTGAAGGCAGCAAACAGCTTCATGCACGTCAGAGGTCCAACCCCAGGGACATAACTTACAGTCCAGCATAAAAACATACAGATGGCTCAGACATCAAGAAAAGATTCAGTTGGCCTGAATACTTTAAGATTATGTAACAAACACATTGAAATTTCTGTTACAGCCGGTATCTAATGGGAGTGGACCCCACAGAAGATAGGCTTAGAGCTCTTTCTCCACACACATTAGATAGTTATTAACTATCTCCTCTGTAGGGACTGGGTGATCAAGGATTTGCAGTCCAAAGAAGGAGGCTACCTTGGAAGCAATACCAGTAAGAAAGTATGGTAGTTGGCATAGATGGGAGTATGGTGGAGGGAAGCCTCTGTGATTCATGGAAGGCTTCAAAGGGAAGCAAACATTTTTCCCTTAAAAGTCAAAATGGGCTCACCAGCTTAGAGTTGGAGTTGGGGAAGACATGGCATACCAAATGTCCAGCATGTGGGGGAGTGGCAGGGGATGGGATGGTGAGGTGGCAGCCCACATCCTGAAGGGCTTTGACTGAACTAGCTCAGAGAGGAGAAAAAGGAATTGGCTGGAGAGGTGCCCTAAAATCAGAGGACAGCCAGGCCTGAGGGCCCGGAACCAGGAAGTGGAAAGTCACTGGAACCCAGATAGTCCTTCCTTCCGTCTGCTCTCTTCTTCCTGCTATGCCCCCACTTTCTTCTCTGTCTGCACACTGGCCTCCTCAGCTTTTCTGTCCACTTGTAGACTGGAGTGACATGGAATGGGCTTTTTTAGAAAGATTGCCTTGGCACCTGGTGTTCAGAATGCATTGGATGGGAGACTAGTTGGCAGCTTCAGCCATAGGGAAAGAATGAGAGCCTGGAAAAAGAGGACTAGGGTGTGTGTGTGAGAGAGAGAGAATTTCAGAAATAATTTATGGGACTGCAAGATTGATTGGATATGGGGTGAAGGCGGGGGCAGGGGTCAAGGCTGACAATAAGGTTTTTAGTGAGCCTGGACAGATACTAATACTATAAATCTATAGAAAGGAACACAGGAAGGAGAAAATAGATGTGCTGGGGTGGGGGGAGATGATTATGATAAATATAGTTTTTGAGATTCAGTCTTTACACATATGATAGCATGGGAAGCAGCACAATGTAGAAAGAGCCAGGACTCTGGAATCCATAGTCAGGTTTTAATTTCAGTTCTACAATTGATTAGCTATATATTAACTTGGGCAAGTTACTAAAATTCTTTGAGATTCACTTTCATCTGTAAAATGGTGTTGATAGTATGTATCTTTCAGAGCTGTTGGGAGGATTATAGATAATATCAGTAAAATGCCTTGCTCAGTGCCTTGCGCATAGATGTTCAAAATATGTCAGCTCCTCTGCCCTTCCTATAACCACATTGCCCCATTCTCGTCCCTCTCTGGAGTCCCTCAGTGGTGCAAACAGTTAACACTCTTGGCTGCTAACCCAAAGGTTGGAAGTTTGAGTCCACTCAGAGGCACCTTGGAAAAAAGACCTGGTGATCTACTTTTGAAAAAAAATCAGTCATTGAATAACACTATGGAGCGCAGTTCTACTCTGACACACATGGGGTCTGCAGGAGTTGGGGTCAACTTGACAGCAACTTTTTTTTTTCTTCCCTCTCTGGAAGTTGTTTCCTGTTTGTTGGATACGCACCACAATTTTGGAGAGATACGACTACTTTGGGCTTTAATTCAACTTAATTTTGGAAAGGTTTCTAACTCTATCTACACTTTCTAAAGCAGTGGAGGGTGGAGGAAGAGATACATTTGTGCGGATGGGTTCCTCTAACCAGTCCATGCAGCTAGGCCGCCCCCGTGGGACCCGAGAGCACAGCGAGCAGCAGACGTCAGCATTTTTGTTCCTGAGGAAGGCCATCTGGACATCCCTGAGTATAACCAGGGACTTGGCCTCTTTCCTCTCCTTGTTTTCCGGAGCTAAGTGGTGACTGGGAACACAGAAGAAAAAATGCTTGCTTTCTGAATTCCTTCCCTCACCCTAGAGTATATCTGAACGGCATTATTTGTTTCTCCTCCGCCGGCTTCGACTCGGGGCCTTGCCTAATAGCAGAGCTTATTCAGAAGTGGAACAAAAAGGGAGGTGTCGTTTCTCTTTGAAGGGCTGTTCACAGCACGGCAGAAATGTGTTTCTATTTTAAACATCATCAACTTAAAAAATGGGTCATACCCTTACCCAAAAGAGCCCAATCTGGGCCTCTAAAAATAGCTTTCTTTGTTTGGATGGGGAACAAGCTGGCTGCTGTCATCTCAATGCCACCATCAGCCAAGTGGGAATTCTCACTCTGAATAACAGGTTATCTTTAAACGGTAGTTTCCATGGAAATGGAGGTCGGACCGTAAGGAGGTAAAAGGAGCTCTTCAGAAACCTTTTGGTGCTTGTTTTGTTTTCACGTAACTATGCTGCTGCTGCTGGTCTGTTCCCAGACTCATCAGCTGCGAATCTGCTGGGGGAGCCGGTGGGGATGTTGGGATTCCATGTTACAAACATTTGCTGCCTGCCAATCTCTGTTTTTCTTCTCTGTCTGTGTGTTAAAAAACAAAATCATCTTTAAGTGTAATGAAAGAGTAAACTGTTCCATAACTACCCTTATTGACATGAAATTACTTCTTATGTCTCCAGACAGCTAGTTTTATAGGATTAATGTACTAGCACTCCCCCAAAGGCTTAATTTTAGGGTGACAGCCCCTAAACCCAGATATGGCTTTGAGCACCAGCAGGGAGGACAAAAACCACGCTTACTGGAGTGGAGGGCGTGTGTGTCCCCTTCCCCTGAGTGCAGGGACCCCCTGAGATGGCCCACTCTGCTGCTGGTTAAGTGGCAACAGTTCTACCTCCTGTGTGGTACCTGAGATTACAGAACTGCTCTCTCTCTCTCTCCCTCTCTCGCCTTCTGTAGGGTTGGGCTCAGATGAGTCCAAGAAAAGAACCAACTGTAACAAGTGCCGTGGGAGCATTGCTACAAAACAGGGCCTTGGAGGCCACCAGTGTGGTCCCAAACCAGTCAGGTGAGTCAGAGTGAGCAAGTCAGCCATCAATGAGAGGTGTCCGAGGGATCGTGATTGCCTTTGGGGTTCATCAGTAGTTGCCCAAAGGTGTAATGACATTCAATGTTGCTTTTGTATACAAAGATATTTTGGCTAATGATAACCAGCATTATAGTACTCATTGTCACTAGATCTATTTCATTTAATCCTCACCATAATCCTCCAAATGTTTTATTTATTTAAATGTTATTCTGCTTTAGGTGAAAGTTTATAGCTCAAGTTAGTTTCTCATTCAAAAATGTATACATGTATTATTTTGTGGCATCGGTTGCAATCCCCACAATGAGAGCGCACTCTCCCCCTTTCTGCCCCAAGTTCCCCGTGTCCATTTGTCAGTTTTTCTGTCCCTTCCTGCATTCTCGTCTTGCTTTTGGGCAGGAGTTGCCCGTTTAGTCTCGTATATTTGATTGAACTAAGCAGCACTTTCCTCTCGAGTATGTTATTGTTTGTTTTATAGGTGTGTCTAATCTTTGTCTGAAAAGTAGGCTTCGGGAGTGGCTTCAGTTCTGAGTTAGCAGGGTGTCCGGGGGCCATACTCTCAGGCATTCCTATAGTCTCTATTAGATGAATAAGTCTAGTGTTTTTTGTGAATTTGAATTTTGTTCCACATTTTTCTCCCACTCTGTCCAGACTCTCTACTGTGATCCGTATCAGAGCAGTTGGTGGTGGTATCTGGGGACCATCTAATTCTGCAGGGCTCAGGCTGGTGGAGGCTATGGTTCATGTGTCCATTAGTACTTTGGGCTAATATTTTCCTCGTGTCTGTGGTTTTTTTCATTCTCATTTGCTCCGGACAGGATGGAACCAACAGAGGTATCTTAGACGACTACTCACAAGCTTTTAAGACCCCAGATGCTACTCATCAAAGTAAGATGTAGAACATTTTCTTTATGAACTATGTTATGCCAATTGACCTAGATGTCCCCTGAGACTATGGTCTCCAGCTCTCAGCCCCAGCAACTCAGTCCCGCAAGGTATTTGGTTGTGTCTAGGAAACTTCTATGACCTTTGCCCTGGTCAAGTTGTGCTGACTTCCCCTATATTGTGTGTTGTCTTTCCCTTCACCAAAGTTGACACTTGTCTACTATCTAGTTAGTGATTTGCCCTCCCCATCCTTCCCCACCCTCATAACTATCAAAGAATGTTTTTTTCTGTTTGTAAACCTTTTCTTGAGTTTTTATAGTAGAGGTTTCATACAATATTTGTCCTTTTGTGAATGACTTATTTCACAGCATAATGCCCTCCAGATTCATCCATGTTGTGAGATGTTTCACAGATTCATCATTGTTCTTTATTGTTCTGTAGTATTCCATTGTGTGTATGTACCATAATGTCATTATCCATTCATCTGTTGATTGGCACATAGGTTGTTTCCATCTTTTTGCTATTGTGAATAATGCTGCAGTGAACATGGATGTGCATATGTATATTTGTGTGACAGCTCTTATTTCTCTAGGATATATTCCTAGGAGTAGGATTGCTATATCATATGGTATTTCTATTTCTAGCTTTTTAAGGAGGTGCCATATTGTTTTCCATAGCAGTTGTACCATTTTACATTCCCACCAGCAGTGTTATGAGTTCCAATCTCCCTACAACCTCTCCAACATTTATTATTTTCTGTTTTTTTGATTAGTTCCAGTATTGTCAGGGTGAGATGGTATCTCACTGTAGTCTTGATTTGCATTCCTCTAATGGCTAATGATCACGAGCATTTCGTCATGAGTCTGCTAGCCACTTGAATATCTTCTTTGGTGAAGTGTTCATATCCTTTGCCTATTTTTTAATTAGATTATTTGTCTTTTTGTTGTTGAGTGTTAAAGTATTTTGTAGATTTTAGAGATTAGACCTTTGTCAGATATGTCATAGCCAAAATTTTTTTCCCAGTGTAGGTTCTCTTTTTACTCTTTTGGTGAAGTCTTTTGATGAGCATAAGTGTTTAATTTTTAGAAGCTCTCAGTTATCTAATGCCTCTTCTGATGTTTGTGCATTGTTAGTTATGATTTATCTTTCTATTTATGCTATGTATTAGGGCCCCTAGCATTGCCCCTATTTTTTCTTCCGTGATCTTTATCCCTCCAAATATCTGCATTTTATAGAAAGGGAAACAGAGGCTCAGAATAAGTTGTTTGTCCAAGATACTTAGCAGAGCTGGATTAGTTATGTACTGTGCTATCCCCCTTCCTACAATAAGCTGCATTAATAAATGTGGCACTTTTCTTTATGATCAACATGTACTATGAAGGCAGCATGAATTAACTTATAACCATATCAGCACCTCTGATCAGGAGTCATATTTGGAAGGTATTATTGGAACTAGGTTCCTGGGTGGCACAAATGGTTTGTGCTTGGCTACTAACCGAAAGACTGGTGGTTTGAACCCATACAGTGTGCCACAGAAGAAGGGCCTTTTGATCTTCTTTCATAAAGATTACAGCCAAGAAAACCCTATGGGGAAGTTCTACTCTGTCACAGAGGGTCTGCATGAGTCGGAATCGACTTGATGGCAACAGGTGTTGTTTTATTGGTTTATCAGAACCAGAGTAAGAACTGCCAGTCTCACAGTCCATAAAGTAACAGACCAAAAACCTTTGTTATTATTATTTTAATTCTTTGTGACTTGCTTTTTATCATGAGCTAGGAATTGGACTGATATTTAAAAAATTCCCTCATAACCTTGTAAACCAAAATCATTCAGTTTTACCTGATCTGTGAAAACTTAACAATGAACAAGTAGAACTGCCCCACAGGTTTCCAAGAAGCAGCTGGTGGATTTGAACTGCCAGCCTTTTGGTTAGCAGCTATAGTTCTTAACCCCTGTGCCACCAGGGCTCCACTAACAATGAGGTAGATTTTAGTTTTCACTGACAAAAAAATAATCCCAAACTATAGGTGTATTTCTTTGTTAAAACTTTCACTAACAAACTCTTTTCTAAAGTATAATGATTGGTGTCCTTCAGAAAAGACTATTGCTTTATATGATAGTTTATTTCCTCAAAGAATATTATGGTTTCCTTCAAGTGAAAAGCACCCCTTTAGGTTTAAGGTTAAAGCTTATTTGCCAAGAGGGACTATTTCTTAATTTACAGGATTAGATAACTTTGGCCATGTGCAAAGTCAAATTAGCCAACAGCAGCTGGGGTCTAGAACCATTGCTCTCTGGAATGAAACTGAGGATGGGAGAAGACAATGAGTCAGTGTTGTTTTGAAAACAGGGAAGCATTTCCTTCCTGGAAGTCAGTGCAGTAACTTTAAAGTTGCACCAACGCATAAATGGAAGAGTTCTAAATTAGGACTCAGAAGTCCTGTGGCCCAGTGTGTGATGTTATGAATGTTTTAAAGACACCCTTCTGACCCATTAGAAAATAGATAAGTAGGCCAGTAGATCTAAACAAAATGGTGTTATGTTTGTCCTTAACTAGTTAATGGTGGTTTATAACCACTGTGATGTTGCTAAGTAAAAGGCAAGGTTCTTCAAATGGCCTATACTAGGCTCTAATCCATCTGACCCCACCTTCTGCTGTTTCTCCCAGTCCTGCCCCAGCTAGTGATTTTGGTGTTGTCCTTCAACATAACAGGCATGAACACTCCTGCCTCAGGGCTTTTGCACTGGTTGCTCCCGCTGCTGCAAACAGAAACACTTTCCCAGTATTCTGCACTGCTCTCACTCATCCTTCAGTTTTTTGTTGAAGTATCATCTTCCAGAGGCTCCCTAGCCTTTGTATTTAAAACTAACCAAGCTCTCCCTAATTCCCTTTTTAGCTCCCCCTCCCCCACATTTATCACCATCTAATATTCAGTAAAGGAGCCCTGGTGGCACCGTGGTTAAGAGTTTGGCTGCTCACCAAAAGGTCAGCAGTTCAAATCCACCAGCTGCTCCTTGGAAACCCTATCGGGCTGTTCTGCTCTGCCCTATAGGGTCACTAGGAGTCGGAATTGACTTGACATCGATGGGTTTGGTTTGGTTTGGTTTTTAATATTCAATAAAGGAGCCCTAGTGGTGCAGAGGTGAAGTGCTTGGCTGCTTACTAAAAGGTCGGCAGTTCAAAACCACCAGCGGCTCCATGGGAGAAAGATGTGGCAGTCTACTTCTGTAAAGATTTACAGCCTTGGAAACCCTATGGGGCAGTTCTACTCTATCCCATAAGGTCGCTATAAGTTGAAATTGACTTGCTGGCAATAGGTGGGTGAATATTCAATATATATATTTAGCTCATTTTGTTTGTCTTTTTTTCCTCCCCAAAAATGTAAGAATGTAAGTTTCAAAAAGGCAGGGATTTGTCTAGTTTGTCTATTTTTCATTTTACTACTATATTCCTACCTTTTATGATTGTTCATGGCACATACAAGGTCCTCAGTAAATACTTGCTGAATGAAATAGACAGGAAAAAGTGGATATCTTAATTCTATAATTTCTCATTTAAACTACTGGCATATGAATAGAGTTGTCATGTTAATTAACTTCAGTAGGCTTATTGTTTTATTTCCGGTTTAAGATTGCTTAAAACCTAATTTTTGTTCTTTCCTGTAGCCTCACCTGTTTACATTTAAAAATAAAATTGCCAGGGTTGTTTGCCACCGAGTTGATTCCGACTCATGGCAACGCCATGTGTGTCAGAGTAGAATTGCTCCATAGGGTTTTCAAGGCTGTGACCTTTCGGAAGCAGACAGACAGGCCTGTCTTTTGAGGTGCCTTTGGGTGAGTTCGAACCGCCAACATTTTGATGCTTAACCATTTCATGTTACCTAGGAACTCCTTGCCAGGGTCAGTGCCTTTTAAATTAGTCACATTTTATTCCCAGCAATTCTGGGGAGGAAGCACTAGCATACTGAGGGAAGCTGGGATTCCTTAAAATGTTTAAGGCTTGAAGAAAAGCACTGAGTGCCTGTTGTGAATGTCAACAGGCCCACGTGTGAATCAAAACTGCATCTAGTGTCCATTACCTTCTTTCTGGTTGGCATTAATCTATTTGTAATAGGAGGCTACCTTTTTATTGGTGGTAGTATTGGGCTTTGCTATTTCTAGGCTGACAATCAGTAGTTTTTAGGCCACTTGGTGTCACTCTCTTTCCACATAAATCCTATTATAGCCTTTCATCTAGCTGGTAGTCAACCCTCTAAAACTCAGCTTTCCTTCTTCAACTCTTGAGTAAAATAAGCATTAGCATCTCCCATGTATACCACGTGATTCTAAAGTCACAGTCAGGGGAGATACATGTATGTAGGGCGCAATTCTCATCCAAACCAGAATCTTGTGAGAAGATCAGGCATGCCTAGGAAAACCTCTAATACAAGAGCATGTGATCTTATATCAAGTTGATAACAACCGCCATGGATGCTCAAGAGGGTTCCTGCATTCCACTTGCTATTACTCTGCATGGTTGCTTCCCAGATCCATGGATTCTTAAAAATCTAAAGGAACTGACAGGACAATAATTATGTCTAACATTTAACAGTAAGATATAAAAGTCCTAATCGAAGGGAGTACAAGAGAGAGATTGCCATTGCCCAGGAGGCTCTATGGAGGAGGTGATGGTTTGAGAGAGGGTAAGCTTCATGGAGGTGGTGGCACTTGGGGTGAGCTTTCAGGAGGAGCTGGATTTTGACCAGTGGGAAAAAGTTGAAGTAATGAACAAAGACATAAAAACAAAAATGCAGAGGACATACCCTGGAAACAAATGGTCCAGTTGGCTAAAGCATAGAAAACAGTTGAGATGTGAAGAGAAATTCGAGTTAGAGCAGAAGGCTGGCACTAGAGCAAGGAGTGCCCCAAGTGCCAGGCATTGGCATCCAACTTTCTGTGATTAACACCTTTGGACATTGGTGTCACATCTTCTGGCACTTATATCAGTGTAAGTTAGGCAATCGTGAGGGCCCAGGAGCTTTATGTTTCTAGGCCCTTTAAGGGTCTAGAACTTAAAGTTGGCCTAAAAAATTTTTTTGTGAAAAACAGCATCTAGAAGTTTTTTCATGTAAGAATTCATTCTTACTGTAGAAATTTTTAAGAATCACCCATAATCCCACCACCCTGACATGGTCACTGTTAACGCTGATATTTTTTTCCAATTTCTTTTTCTATTCATAGCCCTCTTTTTTTGTTTTCCTTTCATCAAAGTTAGGGTCACAGTCCATATCCAGTTATACATCCTGATTTTTACACCTAATACATTTTGAACATTCCCCTCTGGCAGAAGAATTTCTGTGGAAACATAGTCATATCACAGAATTATACCACAGCTTAGCTCTTTTGCTGATGTTGAACACGTAGACTGTTTCAGCTTTTTGGGGTTCTAAATAATTCCCTTGTTCATAGACAATAGCCTACCCTTACACTGTGCACTCTTTTTAAGTGCTTCTCATTTTTCACAACATGGGGTAAAGATAGTATGAATATCCCCATTTTCCAGGTGAGGAGGCAGGTAGAGAGAGGTTAAGCAACTTGCCCAAGTAACTTCATAGGAAGTGACAGAGCTGACCAAATCTTTGTCTACTTTGGGAAAACTGGGTTAAAAAATATAAACATTAAGGCTATATATTTGGAAATTATTTTAGAAAGAAATGTGGCTCTTCCTGTATCTTCACAGATTCTAACATTCAGATGGGAAATAAGTTTATACCTAGTCAGCAAATACATAATGGCTATTTTCTCGAGGCTTGTGGTCGAGAGAGACCAATTTACTGGGAAGGTAAAACTGAGAAATAGCTTCTCTAGTACCTTGACACTGAGAGAGACGATCAGTATGAAAATGTAGTCTTGGGATCTATACCCACTTTGGTTCATATTTTTAGTGAATTAGGAGCACAGTTCTACTTCGACACAAACAGGGTCACCACGAGTTGCAGTTGACTTGACGACAGCAACTAGTGTGCTTTGTTTTTTGGTAGTGTACAGCTTTGTTAGTGTGGGCTCTGTTTTTATTTCTGGAGCTTGTGGGTTTTATCAAGTTAAGCATCTTAACTTGCACTAGGACCCCCTCTCCCTACCTAAGTTGTGTAGCAAAGGCAGCGTGTATCAAAGGGTCAGGTGCTGCTGCTTTGGCAGAAAGAAACCATGTATGTCTGGGGATAAAGCTAACACTAAAAGCTCTTTCTGTTCCTATGTCCTTGGATAGTTTGATTCAAAATTTACTTGTGTGGCTTGGTAATGCCCCCTTCCTAAAACACGAGAAAGGAGGCCTCTAGGACAAAAAGGACTAATTCCTTTTTACAAAAAGAATTTCCCCAAGAATCTGGTCCCATACCATGTGGCCAAAACCAGATTGTAATATGGTATGCCCCTACTACTCCATAAACTCCTCCATCCCCATACCCAACAGTGCTATTGGGCACAAAGGATTGTGCAGTGAATTTATAGATAGGAAATAAATGTGGAAGGGAAGGCACTGAAGACTTCCGTAGACTTAGTAAACCCTTTCTAGTATGAGAGCGGGCTAGAAGTGTGGAGCAGGAAACATTGAAACTTTTGAAAGCTGGGACAGCAGGAGAGGGGAGCTGAGAGTCTTCCTGTAAAATAGTGGGTCACCTGAGGTGCCATCCAAACGAGGGCCCATTCGTGGGCAAATGAAGGACTAGGGGCAGAGAAGGCCCCTGAGATAGTCCTAGTTTTCCTTACTATTTGGCCCAGGCCAGAGACTTATTTGTCTATAGCTACCAAAAAAATAAAAAAAAGAGACTTTTCAATCCAGTGTGGGGATTTCACAATCATTCCTCCCTCCACCCCGCCATCCCCTTGCTAATGTTTTGCTTTGACATAATAACAAATCTGTTTATGTTTACAAAGGATTAGCAGCAGATCCTGCCGTTGGAGCAACACTCAGACAAGGATTTACTAAATCTCCTAAAAAAGATTAACTCCTAGAGGCCAGGTAAGGAAAAAAAAAAAACCACCTCTAATCTAGGTGTTGCTAAACATCTAATGTTCAAAATAGTTAGTGACCCTTTAAGAGAATGAATCCACAGTGGACAAACCAGAGAAATTCAGGCAAAACCTGAGCTGGGTGAACAAAATGTATGCTCTTAAAACTTACTCTGCAAAACAGACAGTTTGAAAAGAATATTCCGTTTTCTATTCTGACTTAAAAGGGGACTGAGTCCTCATTTTTGACCTTTTTTGAAAGTCATTCCCCTAAAAAAGGACAGTTCCCTGAGAGTGACATGGAATAGGATTACTATGAAGTGGGAGCCTTTTTTGATACTGTGAACTGTTTGTAAGATAATTAAAATGTTTAAGAGACCTATGATATGTAACATTGTGAATGTGGAAACAGTTAAGTTCTAAAGGGAATGCTTTTCCTTTCTGCTCTCAGACTGGCTCCCTGACACTGCTCACAGAGGAATGCCACCTTAGGGGGAAGGAGCGGTAGAGTGTTTCCACGCCTTTGAATCCTCCTGAAACATCACTTAGAACAAGTAAAAACTGGCTTCAAATTTTCTTATTTACTCCCTTCAAATTTTTCAAAATGGAAGTCATTAAACAGCACATCAATCTGTATAATAATACTTGATTGAAAGATTCACTTGACTGTCTTTTAGGAACAGGCTTTTAAAGAAAATGTTGCTTTGATCTTGGAACCCTTTAGTGAAAGGGCCATGGAGTACCAGCGTTATTCATTTACCAGGAAAATTGTTTTTACCTAGTTTTATTCTACATAATAGCTGTGAAATCCCAGCTTTGATTTGTTCTAATAAACATTAATCTATATTTAGTAATTATTCCTATTTTAAATGTTCGACATACCATGCAGAATTGTCTCAAATACACCAGTGTTTTTGGAGCCGAACAGGTTACAGCCATCTCCCACTTTGTTAGGAAGATGCTCTTATGCCACTTATTTCTCATAGCAAATCAGAAGTCACCTGTTCGTTGGCCAAGGTGTCTCAATTAGTCCTTCTTTTTGTGGTCTTAAGGGTCAATTGACTTGATGCTAACAGGTTTGGTTTTTTTCTTTTTAAGGGTCAATCAACTCTTTATACAAAGAGTCTTCTTTTATACTTAACTCACCATTTTTCAACCAAGAACTTTATTTTTCTTAAACTCAAAGGAATTTTAATTAGGAATATCAAGCCATTTTTCCTGTCTAAACTTGAGAAGAGTCCCAAGCTACTCCCACTTGAAGTAAGTACAGCGAACAATATCTGAAACGCTTCTTAATCTGTATTTTGAGGACCAAATGCTATGTTTTATGCTCGAGTATAGCAGGTGTGGTTCTGGAACTGACTGAAGACTGCAATAAGCCATGTTAAAGCATTTTGGAAGCTTCTGTAAGTGGACCTTGGGAGATGTCAGCGGAGGTGCCCACCCTCTCTCTCCGGGAGACTGCCTTCCCTTGACAAGTTAAGAGGGGGTAAGGGAACTGACTCAGACACCCCAGAGCAGTGGATGCCTGCTCTGAATGAAGTAACCTGTATTGTCTCATTTCCTCCCCTCAAGTTAAACTACAGCTTAAGGAACTCAGACATCTGAGAGCTGGATCCCACAGTTTAAGCTTCACTATGTCAGTTCCACATGCTACAACCCAACCCTGGGTAAGCTGTCTACAAAGACCTGTTGCCCTTCTCAATCGCTATTATCATTAAGTACTGTGAGCCAGGGTTCCTCACGTTTGGTCAACAGATTTCTTTGTTGGGCAAACAACCTCAAGACTTCCCTTTCTCTACCCACCCCTACCTCTGTTTAAAAGTAAAACAAAATAAAAAGCCTTGTCAGATTTAAGGGACATAATACTTTCTGAAGGAACCCCAATAAGGAAATTTTTAATTTGTACTAGAAATGGTAAATACCATTTTAAAATTGGGTCATGGAAGCCCAGGGCAGACTAACTTCTATAGTATTCTGACCTATATGTCAGAAATAAGTTACATAAATTGTTATACTTTACCTTAAGTTGTAATTATCTTACTAAAAAAAAAAGAAAAAAGTAAAGTTTATAATATATGCTGAATAGAGGTCACAACAGTAGTTACTTTTTACAGACGTAATGACCAGGATGGGGCTAGAAATGTTTTCTATCTCCATCTGGGTGGTTACACACGTGTAGGTATATGTAAAAATCAGCTGTATGCAAGATTTGTGGACTTCACTACATGTAAAATATATACCTTCACGGAAAAACAAGCCTCTAAAAGCAAAAGACTAAGTAGCTTTGGAAATCACTAGATTAAAAACTCAAGGGAGAGATTATAGTTACATTGCTAAATGTAGTCTTTTTTGAATAAAAACTAAGAGTGACTTAAATTGATGAATTAAAAATGCTTTTATTTATTTGTGATTAAAAACAATATTTAAGCAGAGTAGTAGTTTAAGCCAGATAGAGCAAAGTAAGTCTTAAAATATTTAAAATTCCAGTAATATTTTTATAAATTCCTGTTAAAAATATAATCAATATTAAAGTCAGCAAAATGCCTTTCTTGGCTGACACCTAGATTATTTTACCACTTAACCTGGTTACACAGTAATTTTTTTTTTAAATTTTTTTTTTCTGTCAGACATGACTGACAACAGTTTAGTCTTTAAGATAAATGAAGTCAGTGATAACTCACATAGTAGCATCTTGTGGAAAATATTCAAACTAAACTTAAAATGCTTTTATAAATGTAGAAATCTATTGTTCCACAAGAAATTGTTTTTGTAAGACTACAGGTTGGCTATGGCAATAGTAACTAAACTACATCCAACCCTGAAGGTAGAAAAATCCCTGAAAAGAAATACACAGCCTAGTTATAATATACCATATAAAGGCTATTTTCTTATTTTAAAAGTTCTCCTGACTTGAAGAAAGCCAAACCTTTCCATAGTTCATTTACTAGGCAATGCCACATAAAGTTATATATGTAGTTAACATTATTATGATCATGGCTTATGGTTATATTCAATATGACAAACACCTATTTATAGATAGCAGCCCTTGTTTTGGATTTTCATTATGACGATATTTGCAGTTTCATTAAAGAATACGTGCTCGTTACATTTGGTACAAAGCATGAACACACAGCACAGATTGGCACAAATACATGCAGTATGAGAACTCATTTCTAGCCAGCCATTACTGAATAAGCCCTATATTCCCAGTCCTGCTGTCTAATCTTCCTTGTATTACAACTGATGTTTAAGATGCTTCTTAAAACATTTTCCAGGATAAGGATGCTTGAAAAACCAGTCATCTGAATGCATGGTGGAAATGAGGCAGGATGGCAGAGCCAGTGGCAGCAGGGAACACGTGGGGGATAGGGGGCAGGGGGAGCTGACCCAGGCTCATAGTGCTCATGGCTAGTGGGGGTTCTTGTTGCTGTTGCCCCAGACAGCTTAACCTATGGGGCAGGGGTTCTCCTGGCCCCAGGCTGAGAGTGCTATTCCCAAAGGCATTTTGGGTAGCAGGAGGGGGCAGCTGCCAGAAGCCCAAAAGGGGGGAAATGTCCAAAGAGGCAGGTATGGTTAGGTTCACAGCATCTGCAGGTAGCTCCTTGGGCAGGTTTACTTTACCAGCACTTCCCTTGGCCAGATCAAAGCCTGGGTTGAGCTTGTGAGGTGACTGAGGCTCTTGCAGAGGCAAGTCCTCGAGCAGATTGATATTGCAAAATCCTTTAGTATCTGCTTTGAGGGGCAGACTTGCAAGCGGGGAGTATGAGGTAGAAGTGGTGTTGTACTTGTGATTCTGGAGGGATGGAGGAGAGCTAGGAGATGCTGAGGGGTGGAGGGAGGGGAGGGGCTCTGGCAGGGGCTGCACAGGTTGGGAGATTTGTTCCGAGGGACTGTGGGTGTGGCTGTGTACCTCAGCTGGCAAGCTACTTGTAAGCCCATTCTGCATAGATGCTCCTAAAGGGAAAGGAGACAGCGGGGCAGCCTTCAGTTGAAACGGAGGCGAGATGGAGTGGAAGGTGCCCAGGAGGTCTCCATTCTGCAGACTCTCTTTCATCAGCTCCTGTGAGTGTGTCTTCTTGGTATGTCGTGTGAGGTGGTCTTTGCGCCCAAACCTCTGGGCACAAAACTGGCACAGGAAGTCCTTGCAACCTGTGTGGACCACCAGGTGGCGCCGCACGTCCTTCCGGGTGTAGAAGCATCGCTCGCAGTGGTCACATTGGTGCTTCTTTTCCTTGGTTCCAGTAGAGGGTTTTTCTTCTGCGTGGGCTTTGAGGTGGTCTAGCAGCACCTCTGTGCTCCCTAGCTCCAAGGCACAGACCCCACAAGTGAGGTCGCCACTGCTGGCCGCATGGAGGGCCAGGTGCCTCTTGTAGCCCAACATGGTATTGTACTTCTTCCCACACTCCTCGCACCCAAAGGCCATTTTGTTGGGGTCATGAGTCTGGAGGTGGTTTTTCAGGTGGTCCTTCCGGTTGAATGTCTTCTCACAGTGAGCACACTGATGAGATTTCTGGGGTGAATGAGTAGCCATGTGCCTAGAAGCAGAAAGAAAAAGTTCACAATAGAGAACTCAGTTACTTTAAGCTGAAGAAATTATATTAAAATATTAATAGTTTTCTCTGGTGATACATGAGATGATTTTAATTTTTTTAAATTCTCTCTATTAAAACACTGCTAAAGACAAAATCTTTACAGGTACAAAAAATTGCATTAAGAGTACACATTTTCCTTCCTAATGTGTATAAAGAGATTTCTAAACAAATACATGCATACACACTTAAAAATACGTGATCATGAAAAATATTTTTTAGGAAGGGGTTAATACTCTATATACCCTTTATGAGTCGGATTCACCTTGATGGCAATAAGGTGGTCAAATTCAAGGATTACCAAAGGTTAGCCAATTTGCCTTCTATGATAACCTCACAAACCCCAGTTTGAGGTTATTGTTCCTAATAGAATTCCTGCTTAGACTCTATTAGTTGAGACAGAAAGTTCAGGCCGTAGACATAACACTCTCAGGAGCCTTTTAAAATCTATCCTTCATCTCTGTCTAGTTGGACCCAGAATGCCAACCCCACCACTTGTGCACTAAGCCTTACTCTCCTGCCTCCCATGAGATCTTGTGCTTTAAGTTTTGCTTTCCTCCATTTAGTACTTTCCTACCATCAGCTGTCATCTCAGGTGTGTGCAGCCCCTGTTGACTTCTCCAAGTTTCCTCTTAGACACCTTCAACTGACTTCTATCTTTACACTTGTTGGAGGTTGTTCATAATTTCATTGACAAAATTGAAAAGGGCTTTTTCTAGAAGGACCAAGCTGCTAGCCCTAACAACATTTATATGTATTTCTTCGACTTTGGCTTCAGGGAGGAGCCATAGTCATCCTAGTCAATCCAGAATTTCAAAATGTTGTTGTTCAGTGCCATTGAGTCGCTTCCGACTCAACAGCAACCTTATGTACAACAGAACGAAACACTGCCCTGGTCCTGTGCCATCCTCAGAATTGTTATGCTTGAGCCCACTGTTGCAGCCACTGTGACAGTCCATCTCACTGAGGGTCTTCCTCTCTTTCACTGGCCCTCTACTTTACAAAGCATGATGTCCTTTCTCCAGGGACTGGTCCCTCCCGATAACATGTCCAAGATAACGTGAGACGAAGTCTCACCATCTTACCTCTAAGGAGCATTCTGGCTATACTTCTTCCAAGACAGATTTGTTCATTCTTTTGGCAGTCCATGGTATATTCAATATTCTTCACCAACATCATAATTCAAAGGCATCTTCCTTTATTCACTGTCTAGCTTTCACAAGTATATGAGACAACTGAAAACACCACAGCTCAGGTCAGGCGCACCTTAATCCTTAAAGTGACACCTTTGCTTATTAACAATTTAAAGAGGTCTTTTGCAGCAGATTTGTCCAATGCAATATGTTGTTTGATTTGTTGACTGCTGCTTCCATAGGCATTGATTGTGGAGCCAAGTAAAATGAAGTCTCTGACAACATCAATCTTTTCTCTGTTTATCATAATGTTGCTTATTGGTCCAGTTGTAGAGAGTTTTGTTTTCTTTATGTTGAGGTGTAATCCATACTGAAGACAGCAGTCCTTGATCTTCATCAGTAAGTGCTTCAAGTCCTCTTCCTTTTCAGCAAGCAAGGTTGAGGAGTCTTCCTCTAATCCTGATGTTGCCTTCTTCTTCATACGCAGTCCAGCTTCTCAGATTATTTCCTCAGCATACAGATTGACTAAGTACAGTGAAAGGATACAACCCTGACCACACACTTTTCCTAATTTTAAACCACTCACTATCCTCTTGTTCTGTCTGAACGACTGACTGCCTCTTGGTCTACGTACAGGTTCCTCATGAGCATAATTAAGTGTTCAGGAATTCTTACTCTTCCCAATGTTACCCATAATTTGTTATGATCCACACAGTCAAGTGCCTTTGCATAGTCAATGAATGAAATACAGGTAAACATCTTTCTGGTATTCTCTGCTTCCAGCCATGATCCATCTGATGTTAGCAATGATACCTCTCATTCTACTTCCTCTTCTGAATCTGGCTTGAATTTCTGGCATTTCCCTGTTGATGTCCCACTGTAACTGCCTTTGACTGATCTTCAGCAAAATTTTACTTGTGTGTGATACTAATAATATCATTTGATAATTTCCACATTCTGTTGTATCACCTTTCTTGGGAATAGGCATAAATATGGATCTCTTCCAGTCAGTTGGCCAGGTAGCTGTCTTCCAAATTTCTTGGCATAGATGAGTGAGCACTTCCAGCACTGCATCCATTTGTTGAAACATCTCAATTTGGTATTCAGTCAATTCCCGGAGCCTTGTTTTTCACCAGTGTCTTCAGTGCAGCTAGGACTTCTTCCTGCAGTACGATCGGTTCTTGATCGTATGCTACCTTCTGAAATGGTTGAAGTCAACCAATTATTTTTGGTATAGTGATTCTGTGTATTCCTTCCATCTTCTTTTGATGCTTCCTGCATCATTCAGTATTTTGCCCACAGAATCCTTCAATATTACAATTTGAGGCTTTAATTTTTTCTTTAGTTCTTTCAGTTTGAGAAATGCTGAGCATGTTCTTCCCTTTTGGTTTTCTAACTCCAGGTCTTTGCACATGTCATTATAATACTTTGCTTCGTCTTCCTGAGCTGCACTTTGAAATCTTCTGTTCAGCTCTTTTCCTTTTTATTTCTTCTATTTGCTTTAGCTACTCTACATTCGAAAGCAAGTTTCAGAGTCTCTTCTGACATCCATTTTGCTCTTTTCTTTCTTTCCTGTCTTTTAATGACCTCTTGCTTTCTTCATGTGTGATGTGGAATGACATCAAGGACAACTTGTCTGGTCTTTGGTCATTAGTGTTCAATGTGTCAAATCTATTCTTGAGATGGTCTCAAAATTCAGGTGGGATATATTCAAGGTTGAACTTTGGCTCTTACGGACTTGTTCTAATTTTCTTCAGCTTCAATTTGAACTTGCATTTGAGCAATTGATGGTCTGTTCCACAGTCGGGCCCTAGCCTTGTTTTGACTGATGATATTGAGCTTTTCCATTATCTCTTTCCACAGATGCAGTCAATTTGATTCCTGTGTATTCCATCTGGTGAAGTCTATGTGTATAGTGTCCATTTATATTGGTGAAAAAACAGTATTTGCAATGAAGAAGTCGTTGGTCTTGCAAAATTCTATCATGCAATCTCCAGCATCGTTTCTATCACCAAGGCCATATTTTCCAATTACTGATCTTTGTTTCCAACTTTTACATTCCAATCACTAGTAATTATCAACACATCTTGATTGCATGTTTGATCAATTTTAGACAGCAGATGTTAGTAAAAATCTTTAATTTCTTTATCTTTTGTCTTAGTGGTTGGTGCATAAATTTGAATAATAGTGGTATTAACTGGTGGTATTAACTGGTCTTCTTTGTAGGCGTATGGATATTATCCTATCACTGACAGCGTTGTACTTTAGATCTTGAAATGTTCTTTTTGACGAATGCAACACCATTCCTCTTCAAACTGTCATTCCTGGCATAGTAGACCATACGATTGTCCGATTCAAAATGGCCAATGTCAGTCCATTTCAGCTCACTAATGCCTAGGATATTGATCGATCTTTATGCATTCCATTTCATTTCTGACAATCTCCAATTTTCCTAGATTCATACTTCATACAATCCACATTCCAATTATTAATGCATGTTTGCAACTTTTTCTTTTTATTTTGAGATGTACTACATCAGCAAATGAAGGTCTCAAAAGCTTGACTCTACCCACGTCATTAAGGTCAACTCTTCCCTAGCCATAGTTGGGGTGCCCTCCACAACCTGAAGGGCTCAACTTCAGGCACTATATCAGACGATGTTCCACTGCTATTCATAATGTTTTCACTGGCTAATTTTTTTCAGAAGTAGACCACCAAGTCCTTCTTCCTAGCCTGTCTTAGTCTGGAAGCTCAGCTGGAACCTGTCCACCATGGGTAACCCTGGTGGCATTTGAATACTGGTGGCATAGCTTCAGCATCATGCAAGCCCCTACAGTATGACAAACTGACAGAATTTCAAAATAGCTATTTTATATTTATATTTGTAAACCACAAATTAATTTTGGAAAGCCATCATGATTCCATCTCTATTCTAGTTTCACTGAAGTCCTAAAATCTGAACTCCATGTCAATTTTTTAAAAACTTAATGATATAAGGAAACCTTGAGAGTCATCCTAAAACTTTAAAAAGGCTCATTGTAATAACTAAGTAAATCATATAGAACAACGTGGTCACTTTATGTCTGAAATTATTTCAACAGTTTTTCTTCCCTCAACTTTTCTCCTTAACTAAAACCACCAATGTCAGTCTTGTTGTTGTTATGTGCCATCAAGTTGGTTCCGACCCATAGTGACCCTACCCTATGTACAACAACGAAATGCTGCCTGGTCCTGTGCCATCCTCACAATCATTGTTATGCTTGAGCCTGTTGTTGCAGCCACTGTGCCAGCGTCAAATACCACCATCTTTGGGAATCATCTAAATCATACCAGTGATCTCAGAATTCTTCACAGGCCATTGCTCACACTGATTGCCAACCACAGACTTCAATCTGCCTTGCCAGATCATCTATTCTTGCCCTTTGCTGTCTCCACCTAACTGGTTTCATTGGTTGTTGAATGGGAAGGCATGTTCTCTTCTCTAGTTAAGCAAGTCAGTTATTTTCTCCTTCTACATCTGAACTAGAAAATGGAGCTCATATTGCAACTGATGGGAAATGGGATGCCAAGCCACCCACCCTATCTTTTTTTTTTTAAAGCAAAACCTGAAGCATCTGCCATCTTGCCACTCCTTCCATTCTTTTATCAGGTCACTGCTATGGGTAAGAGAGGCAAGAAATGTTGGTAGCAGTGAAGGCAGTTCTTGCATAAACTACATTGCTTCTCTTTTTTGCCCCACTTTACACTTAACTGAGTAAATCATTTTCTTTGCTTAGAACTACCACCTCCTACAGATTCCTTCAGACATCTTCAGTGCTGTTTACTACAGACATCCCACCTAATGCTAGTCATTCCCAACATCTGTTAGTTCTACTGTCTTTAAATACTTCTCTCATGTATGCGTTTCAGTCTTTATCCAGTTATTATATCCTCATTGTGGCTTAAATGCAACAAACACCACTTTCGATATTACCCTATACACATAAGCTTGAAGCTAAACAGGAAGCATCTGCAACAAAACTGGTGCACAAAGTAGGCACACAATACTTGTATTTATGGCGACTAGAGACCAGCCTATATACAGAACGCGCGTGAATTTTAATACCTATGTAGTTACATGCTTATTTTTAAAATAAACTATATCTATGATACTGTATTCTTAAGGGCCTTCCTCTAGGGACACTCAAAAAGATATAATAATAATGTGCTCCATAGTAATACCAATGAGATGGAAATTCTTAGTTTTGACTCTCACATGTGCATCCATATGTGAGTGGTCTGAAAGTTAGTTTTAAGAAGATTAGAGACAAATGGCTTATTTTCTTTAACCAGATGTCAAAGGAAGTGCACATTAGTGGGAGTTCTTGTGTGTGGCTCTGAGGGTACCACACCTGCAGCATTCACTGTCCATCAGGCCATTAGGCCATTAGGCCACGCCTCTATCTCATGTGTGTATTTGTCCTATGATATAAAAATCCTTTGGTGGCAGAGGCTACATCTCTCATATTCATTTCCCTTGTAAAGGAAGTGAGTACCTGACAGGCACTCAAATAATTTAGACTAAATGTACTATTAAAGGACACATGTGCTAAAAACAGTGGTTTCTGTCCACTGGGGCATCATGGATGCCTTTGAAATCTGATGAAATGCACACACTGAACATCTGCCTACCCCACTGAACTCCATCTATAAAGGTGGCTTCTAGACCCCAGTCGAGAAAGTGCTGCAAAAGTTTACACTTGGAGGTGTCCTCTCCTCTCCGTCCTCACTGTCAGGGCTGGACTATTAGAACAGATTTCATATTGGTCTACTTGTCTCCTCTCTCCTCTCCAATTCTATCACAGCCATCTTTCTAACATCCCAATCAAATCATGTTACTTTTCTACTTAGACATAATAAAAACACACTCTTTAGGCCAGTGGATAAGGCCTGTTAATGAGCTACTTCTCTATCTACATTTTCAGCCTCACCCCTGCTGCTCGTCCAGAGCCCTCCCCCCATACTAACCTCTGTACATGTCCTCTTTAAGGCCAGGGCTTATGGCTTGCCTTGAACCTCCTGTGTGAATAACAGCCAACATAAGGCTACTTTCCAGAAATGTGATGAGACCTCCTATCCCCACTTGCTCACTTCCATCATTCTGACACCAGCCACCTACATGGCACTTTCTCTCTCTGACCCTATAACCACCCAGAGCTCCGTCTCCGCAAGTTAGGACTCTGTCCTTCCAGCTCCTGCCAAACAGGAAATGCCAGCCTCTCTGCTAGCTCTCACTGCCCCCGGTGGGTTTAATAATTCGCTAGAATGACTTACAGAACTCACGGAAACTCTTACCTATACTTACTGTTACCCATTTATTATAACCAGAAAGGGAACATAAGCATAGAGAAGCATCAGGTAAGGTGTGAGAGAGGTCCTAGCACGAGGCTTACATTATCCCCAGGGATGTGCCACCCTCTCCCACGTATGGATGTTCTTATCACTCCAGGAAGCCCAAAAAAAGAAGCTCCAAGATCCAGGGTCCCCTAGTCTTTGGGTCCTCAATGAATATGCATGACTGAAGCCTTAATGCATAGTTACCATGGATCCAATCAGTGAATACACCTGACTGCATCTGCCCCCTCCTGCGTAGCCCCTACTGGCCTGGCTACTTTAGAAAGACAAAGAACATCTTAATTGTTCAGGCCGTTTTCAGAAACCAGATACAAAAGGCCAAACTTAGTTCTTTGTCCCACACCTCCTTCTCTAAGCCCTTTTCTTTATCTCACAGCTTAAGATGGTCCCTTTCCGAAAAGCCTTCCCAGCTCTCACTGAGCACTCAAAAAACACTGTCCTCCACCTGTCTAGCTGTGTCCTGGCACTTGGGTTGCATTTTAATTGAGTTTGGATGTGTTTCTCCTGTCATGAGTCTTTTTATCGTTCCGTCCTGAATCCTGGCATATTCTAGGTGCACAAGAAATATTTGTTGAAAGAATGAACTGCCACTGCACAGCAAAATTGTCACATACCTAGTGAATACAGAACCACAGCAATCACTGGAGGTACAGCTAAGAATGGATCCATAGCCCACTCCCCTTCCCCTTGCAGGGCTTGGTCTGAGGGTTAGCAAAGCCATTTAAAGGTGTGTGTAAGATCCAGTGTACAAAAGCTCATACCTTTTCTGAAGCCTCTCACCTCATTAACTTATATCTGGAAACGAAGGCTTTGCCACAGTCAGGCTGCAAACACTTGTAAGGCCGCTCCCTGGAGTGGGAATAAGTATGAATGGTATACTTCTCCAGGGTGAGGAATGTCTTGCCACATAATCGGCAGGGGTAGGTGGCCATGGGCTTTGCTGCTCACACCTTTCTTTTCAGATGCGCCATTTAAGCACAAACGAGGGCCTGGTGCTGGGTGCATCAGCCGAGCCACTGCAGCTCAACTCCAGACCAGGGCAGAGGCAGCATTGTGGTCCGGGCCTGGCTCTACCCAGACGTGGCTCTCTCAGTTGCCACTAGCTGTGCTTCCTGGGTTTCCACATCCCAGTTTATAAGCGGTCTCAAGCTGGGGGGAAAAGTCTGAGGCACAGATGTAATCCCAGGAGCAGAAAGGTAACCTGCATCACTAGAGCTGGGGCATATCCAGGATCACCAGGCTGTCTGTGAAGAGAAGAGGAACAGTTTTCTTGCATTAGCCATTTGAAAACAGTGCTTTTCAGAATCAATGAGCCAGAATCAACATGGTTCTAACAGCACAATTCTCCACCCTCCCTGTGTCCCTCTCGTAAGAGGGCCTTCTGCACATATCAATCCACCTGTCTGGGCTTCTCCTAAGTGGCAAGCAGCCAAGCACACAGTGTTCTGATGGTGGGTGAGCACACTTTCTTTTGTGATAAAGACGGCTGTTTCCGTGTACTCCGTATTATCTACTTCAAACCACAACTTCAGGTCAGGGTGAGGCTCACTTGACTGATTCAGAGGAGGAAAAAAAAAGGAAAACTCCCCCGGTGTGTTTGAGTGTTTTACTGGTATATAAACCAACCCCGCCCCCCAACCCCGCTTATTCAAACCATGGGAGTCCCTGGGTGGGGTGGTTCAAACAGTTAAACGCTTGCTGCTAACCAAAAGGTTAGAGGTTCAAGTCCATCCAGAAGTACCTCAGAAGAAAGGCCTAGTGATCTACTTCCAAAAAATCAGCCGTTGAAAACCCTATGGAGGAGTTCTACTCTGACACACGTGGGGCTGCCATGAGTTGGAATGGACTTGACGGCAACTGGTTTTTTATTCAAACCATAGGTTTTTCCTCTTCACTCATTGTTAGCACAAGTTATCACACCTGTTTAAACTTCCAGTGGTTGAAAAGAATTCATTTGTATACATCAAAGTTAATTTGTTTAAGATTACTACACAGAAAGACTGATATAAACTGAATGTGAGTAGAGCTAGCCTAGTTGTACTGACATAACGCCTTTAGAAAAGAGACAAAGTATTTCCACAGAAATTAAACTGTGGCCAGGCAAAACCTCAGGCCACATTTAGTACTGTAGGTACCATCCTCTAATAAAGTGTTCTCCAAATCTCTCTGCCCTTTGCTTAGGGACATTTCTTCAACCCCAGTCCTGCCCTGGAGAGCCAACCCAACTACCTGTAGAGGTGGGCCAGCTGTCTCCTCAAACTCAATCTGTCCAAAACCCAAATCTTTCTCACCCTTCCTACCCAGCCAACATCTCCAAAAACCAGGTTCTTTTGCTACCAATGGGCTGTCATTTGAGGAGCCTTACCTGTCTGAGGCACCATAAGAATTAATGCAATAAAACCCTGACTACCTACAATTTAGTGGAAATGTGCTATTTTAATGCAATTTTTCAGGTGGGTAGATGCTAACCTTCCAAGTGCCATAACTTAAAAAAAAAAAAAAAAAAGAGTGCTATATGCTCACACAAAGCACGTGTGTGTAGCTTTTGTACTCAGGCCAGCCTTTGCTGAACACTGTCAAGTAATCAGGACATTCATGGTAAACGGACCCATCACAGCAAAACTTTAAGGCTTCTGTTCTCTGCAGCCATTCACGTATTGCTAAGTCTTTAGAGTTCCTCTTAATCGTTAAAGTTAATTTTGACTTGCCTTTTCAGTTACTTTCAGATCAGCACTATTCCAGAAAGCTTGGCTCTAGCTAGATGAAGTTTCATTGTAATATTTCAAGCATCTTTAAATACACCAGTACACAGCACATGTATCTAGACAAACATAAATTCCTTTTCTAACAGGCAAAAATTTGCAGGAAACTTCTAGTGTTTCTCATCTCCTGCCTCAGATGTTTTTGGTGTCTGGTCAGAGTTCATGACAGTGGAAACATTCCCCAGTTCAAATTCCAGCTTACCCATTTGTTAGCTATGTCCTGAGTTTCAATTTCCTCATTTGTGATATCCACCTGATCTATGTAAAAGAGTTGTTGGTGACAATCAACTGAAACTAAAAGAGTTGTTGGTAACAATCAACTGAAACAAAATGGATCTGAAAACACGATGTAAAAAAAACCCAAAAACCCAGCATGAAAATATTTTAATCATGAGGATTAAAAGCAGAAACCATTAGCTGTACATTAGCCCATGGTTCTAACCAATTTATCTATGGATGTAATGGAAAAAAGACACATGGTCTCTATGTATACTATGCCACCAATTAATCATACTGGAAGGAACCAGTAGTGTGAATAATACACATGCTCACACGTGCAGAAGAGGACATGAAAGTTCCAAGAAAAAAGCCTGCGTTCAACAGATGTAAACCCTGACTGACTGCTTACCAACACACCAAGAGTACAAAGGGAAAATAAGATTTATTCAAAAATAGACCGCTCCTTGGCACTGAATACAGTTTTCCTAGGTCTACCGTTCCAGTCACTTCTTCCCTAGATTCAAAGGTCCAAGAGTCATGGGCATCATCACATCTACGTCTCTCTCGAACCTTCAAAGATGGTGGGTATAATCAAAGTTTTAGGCACGGCCAGGTATGTTTAAGGAGGCCTGATGGCACAATGTTTAAAAGCGCAGATGCTAACCAAAAAGTCAGCGGTTTGAATCCACCAGCTGCTCCTTGGAAACCCAATGGCGCAGTTCTACTCTGTCCTATAGGGTTGTTAGGAGTCGAAATTGACTCAACACCAATGGGTTTGGTTTAGTTTGTTTATTTATTTATTTATTTTTTTAGGTATGTTTACAGGTGAGACATATCTCCTTCCACTTCAACTCTTCATCCCCCACCTAACTTTCAAAGACCAAAAAAAAAAAAAAAGTCTCTAAAACATTTTTATACTTATTTCACTTATTTCCTGAATGTCATTTCCCAAGACTTCATCTTGTTGTGTTTTGGGCCTGTGTGTTAAATACACCTAGCCCAACATTAAATGCAAAGTTGGTACTCAAATGCTGAACTTACATGACAGTGAACACTCTTTAATTTCTTCAGTTAGTTTTTTTAATGAACTCAAAATCACAAACAGTGATAACATTCCAATCACTGTACTGTCTTTCACAAAACATGGACCTTAGAAGACAAATATTTGCATTGTTTTCATGCTATAACCACATACTTCAAGGAAAATAACTCTGTCTTTCCCAACAGACTGTAAATTCTTTGTGGCCAAGGATCAAAGCTTAACTATCTTTAAAAAATAAACCATGGATACATACAACTCACATCACCATGTATTTGACTGGTGCTGGCTGTCTGCTGATGATTCCAATCTTTGGTTGAAACCAGATGCACTTTCTTGCCCACATCCTTAAAACAGACTTATGATTACTTTATCTATATCATCTGGCAATCCACCAACAACCCAAACAGAAAACCAACAGAGGGATGGTCCTGATGCTAGTCTGTTCTGTGACTTGACATAGAGTTTGCATCTGAGTCTTAAACATGGTAACAGTTCAACACCTGTCATGCTGGAAAGATAGTAAGTCTTTCCTCAAAACATCTCAGGACATAATTTTCAATCCCCCTGATTCTAAAAATACTGAGTGAGTGATATAGATCTGCCAGTATGCCAAGGCAGGCTTGTGCCATCTGCTTCATTCTGTTTGTGCTGATTATTTTGGGGCTGAGAGAGGATCAGATTGGAATATGAACATATATATATGGTATATATATATATGGCAACAGCCAGGAAGGGCTGTGCTCCCTGGGGGCTGGTGGTATACGATGGTGGAAGCAGAGGTCAGAGCACAAGTGTAGCTCCAGGACTTCCCCAATACCATGTAACATAATCATCTAATGGGAGACAAATGTCTTACGACATTACTGAAATAAACTCTGACTTCTAGCTTCTATTACCATTGTCCCCAGTGACATAATGCAAGGCCAATTTCTGAGAGGAAATTGAATTTCCATTCTTAGTTTTCCAATATGGTACTCTAGTTCTTTTTTTGACTCCATTCATCACTTTCCACATTGACTACTGTGGATAAGAAGGAGGTTCTACTCTGAACATCTCTCTCACATACTCTAAAACCTGGGATTGCTTTTATATGAATGTGTTAAGGCCAATTTTAAAAGAGCCTCTGGCAAGGTTCTGTTTCTTCTCACACTCACAAAATAAGAAATAGCCAATCATGGAGCAGGCTGGGTGAAAATTCATTACTTATTTGGCTCTAGGAAGCTCTTAGGGTGTTTTTTCTCAGTAACAGTTCTTTGAAGGACCTTGGTAGCAAGTCATCCAATTAAAAAGCTACTCAGAAATGTCAGCAGGAGAAATAAGACACCCAGAACCTCCAGTTTGTTGTTACTGTTTCTTATGCACATGCATTATAAAATGTTAGATGCTAAGCATGAGTGAGTACAATATTAGGAGAACTGGCTCCCATCATACGTTTAATGAGAGAAAAAGATGCTTATGGTGCTGGACTAACTTAGTTGAAAATTACAAATGGGAGACTCTGATGTGTCCATTACCAGACAGCTGTGAGTAGGTTGTCAGTTTTATAATTTAGAGCAGGGGCTCATAGGTGGGGCCCATGGTTGGGCTTTAGGGCTCATGGTTGGGCTTCAGGGCCCATGGTTGGGCTTCAGGTCCCATGGCTGGGCTTCACAGCCTATGGTTGGGCTTCACGGCCCATGGCTGGGCTTCACGGTCCACGGCTGGGCTTCACGGCCCCTGTGAATTCTCTGAAATTCTGTGCCAAATAACGTTATGTGTGTGTGGGAGCTCTTATGGGGAGAGGGACCATGGCTCTCTTCAGATGTTTTAAGGGGTCCAAAATTCAAACAGGTTAAAGGACACTGACTGAGGTTAAAAAAACGCGGAAAAAAAAATCCCTCTTGATGCTATCATTTCAGTTTGATACTTCACAAAGTCACTGATATTTCCTAATCCACAGGCCATATATTTTTTGCCTCAATTACTGCATTTTATCAGGTTAAAGTAAAAATAAAAAGGTTCTATAATCATAACCTTCTGAAATTCAAGCAGTAAACAACCAATTTCATTTCAAATACTGGTACTGATGATCATTTAAAAGCTCCTGTTAGGTAAGAAAGACCTACCTATAACTAAAGAGCTAGCTGCCTTCACAATCTCAGATCTTTAAAACTCTTCTATTAAAATATGTACATCTGGAATAAACTACCATGCCATTATCATTAAAATCCACTAACATCTG